CTAACCTTAACTTAATATCAATATAATTTTAAATCAAAATTTATCTGCATATATGTATTATATATATTTCATATAATTTACGTGGTCTTTCCATCATTAATTCTTGCCAAAAAGAATTCGAAGTTCCCTTTTGGATAAGTTGTAGGGATAATGTAGGCTTGTCGGAACATAAACTTTTCCAGTTATTTGCCTGCAAGGAAATGAAGCTATATTATGCATACGTACTATAATATGCCCTTTAAAGGGAATACTCCCTACTTATTGAAGTCCTCTTCATATCCCACTGTATAGTGATTCGGTATCTTAGCCACTTTGGAGAATGTTAAGCACTCACTGGGTGGCGTGCTCAATGCATAGAATGGATAATCGAACGTATTTATATATATATCAACACACAGTCCATGGCTACCCAGATGAGATTGACTTGCGATCGATGGCTGACTAAGTCCACAGCTGCCTAGCATGATGTTCCGATGGCAGGAATAGATGAAAGTTCCCTTATCGCGGCTTGAGTGAAAGCATTGCACATGCCGTGCGGCCTTCGAGTGATCGACGTCAATGGGATCGAAGCCGGGACCAGCCATGTCACAAGCTGAAAAATGAACAGCATTACTAGAGGTATATAACTTTATATCGAGTCTAATTACTATCTATATTTTGCAGCGTAAAATGGGGCTGCAATGCGCGACCCACAGCTGATGCCAACTGTCCGCCGAAGCTGAAGCCAAACATGAATCCACGACTCGGATCGAAGCCATATTGAAAGAGAGATACTAGTACGGAGACAATCACCTCGGTTATGTGATCGAAATTGGAATATAATCTAAAAAGTATAAAAATATTTAGTATCTGATTTATTTTAAATTAGTTAAATAAATACATACCTCATATAGGATGAGCTGGCGGCCGTACTATAATCGATGCATATGACGCAGCCTCTGCGGTAGAAACTTAATCCTGCAAATGGGAAACATCATTAAAAAGAGACGAAAATGTATTAAAAGTAAAAACTTACTTTCGATCAGCTCAATCGCCCACTCATCGGAGCAACTTTGAATCCAGCCATGGAGCACAATAGAGAATTTCTCTGTAGGCAAACATCCAGAATTGGCCAGATTGAATTCATTCAATGGCACCGGAGTCTCCAACGTTTTTGTATTATTTCTAAAAGTAAATTGAAAATAGTTTTATATAGCTTATAAATAATAAAATTTTTCTATATAGTGTATATTGTATTAAAATATTTGCTTGCAACAATTACAATAAGTGTGAAACAAATGCCCAAATTTTATAACAAATTGTCTCATAATTAAAAATCTTTTCATATTTTCAATTAAATATCTAGAGCAATTTTTACTTACTTATAAAACTGTACTGTCAAAGTGCTGCGGACATCAAGTCGTAAAGATCTTTCTTGATAAACTTAAAAATTTATAGCTTATTTAATAGCATGCTATACAAAATATCAAATCATACATACATGTTGTTTCGTTATTTATACCGAAAGCATCAATAAGATCAATAAATCTCGTTGAATGAACTTTTGAAGTAAAACCAGAACAAGTTATAATAATAAACAAGTATAAATTTGAATATCCACAAGAATATTTCATTATAAATATTCTTTATATTTAACTAAGTAAATAACAAAAAAATAAAAACAAATAATGTACAATACAAATAAGAGAAAACTTTCTCTGGGACTTTTTACCTTTTTGGGGAACTAGCATGAGTGAAGAGTCGTTGAAATAATCGAGTCTCACGGGATTATTTCAAGTTTGTGGTTAAAACTGTGATTTTTCTGCTAAACTTTTCGGAATTTTCATTATATAGATACAGAAGAATATAAATATTTAGTAGGGGCATCATCATGTACTGTGCACATAAACCTTTCATATAAAAAAAAAAAAAAAAATACATATATTATGTAAATTCAATTATTCAATTTGTATGCAGTGTCTGCAACATTTGGCTGACGTAAAATTATGGGCGAAGCGTCAGCACGAAACTCATAATTAAGCTCACCGAAATAATTGATTCTAATTAGTTATGTGAATTCGTATTGAATTTTTAAATACACACACATAAAACTGGTATTTACGCAAAGTAAGGAATTGATGATCAAACCATAGTTCGTATTGAATCTACAGTTCCCCATTTGCATTTCCTTTCTGCCTTTCTTTCAACTGGTGTTTCCTCCCTGTCCAACTTTGAGAATTTTAACGCATCATAAAACAGTAAGACTACGCCCACTCGTACTTTTCACTAACTAAAAAATTAATTCAAAAATAAATACGTTTCACGAAATTTGAATTCACCAAAAATATATTTTAATGTATACTTATTATACACAACTCTTACAGTTGAATATTCATTATTTTCGTTATGTTCTACTGATTGGGACAATCGTTTGGAGACTGTTTTTTGCTGGACTTGGTTTGACCCTCGTTCTCATCGTCGTCATACTCGTCGTCTTCGTTTTCGAACTCCTCTTCATCTTCATCATCCTCATCATCAACAATGTCACCCGTGAAATAAAGCACAGCTTTTGGAATAATTCTAGCACGTAAAAAGTGACCGATTTCGAAATCAGTGGCCAAAATCTGCAGATAAATGAAAAGTTAAAAATTATTCATAAAAACTAAGTTGAATAAATATCCAAAACTTACTTGCTGTGACTCATCATCGATGTCTTCCTTATCTTCCGAAACTTCTGGTGGATTAAAGAAATTGAAGAACGAGTCTGTGGGAACTTGTTTAACGATGGTGCGCACAGCACCGCGCTCCTTGTGCTTCTGTTTCTTGCGAATAGTCTTAACAGTCAAGTTCATCTTCTTCTCCCAATTAATAACGCAACCTTTGCATTTATAAATTTCCGGACCTTCGAAGGCAAATGGATCTTCAAGATCGACCGTCGACTTAAGGAAGTATTGCTTCGTTAGTACAGTGTTAGAAAAGAATTCATTTTTATCGAAATGAAAAGCTAAAGTATAAGAATGCTGGAAGTATAAAAAGAAAATCAGTTAACAAATAGTATACTACACCTTACTTAAGGTTCGCAAGTTAATATTAAGTGATCTACGTACTTCATCATCATATTTAATTGTAATGTCGGTAAGATGGCGAATAGCCGGCTCATCGTGAGTCTGCACCATTTCAGACAACATTCCTGTGTTTCTGAACACTGTAAGCCAGAAATCTGGGATTCCAGCTACATCCTGAGGCATTGCTTTTATACTCTTAAGAGATTCACGGAATGCATCGCTGGCATCTCCTTCGATGGGTAAAGCTTCTGGTTCCTTCCACTTTGGTTTCTCTTCCGCAGGTTCTAGTTTGCCGGTAATGATCTCCCTGCGCTTGTCTAAAAGTGGTTGATAGCTCAACTGATACTTTTTCTCCAAATTGTAAACTTCCTCAAAAAACTTTGCTTCAATTTGCAACTGATCCAACTGCATATTCTTCAGAACAATGATCCGTTTCTGGACACTCTCGGGCAACGACTTCACCATTTCTTGCAAAAACTGTCGCCGTAACACTGAATTCATATATGCTGGCCTGTCGTAGAGCACAATTCAAAATGTAAATATTCAGAAAAGTGGGCAATAGCAACAAAAATATTTTTAATTACATGGATTGACAGTCGGAATTTGACTTATCGTCGTCGACTTCATTGCACGACTCGGCGTCTACATGTCCTTCCTGTGGTGCATCCATTCTGAATAAAAATGAGGTTCTGAAACGCGTATACACATGTTTGTTAATATAAATTGCGTTTTTAGCTTTCAAATCGCTTATATTCATAAATCAACATTCACATATTACAAGATAAACAACAAAAAACTATATGAAGCTTAAAAAATCATCAAAAGAATTCAGCAACATAATAAAACATGAATTTACGACTTGCGTTTACTGAGAAAAAAAGCCTAATGCATATACAACATACATACATATATATACACAACGCACATTCCTAAGCACTAAAGCACGTGTGCTTTGTACTGAGAATTTATACTTTCTTTTCGTCTACCAGTCAGCTTAACAGCCATTTATATTGTTTCAACATAGAATAGAACTTTTTTTTCAAAAGACACGCAAAACCATCCTTATTTTAAAAATATTGTAATTATAAAGCAGACATACCTCTAGACAAAAGTTAGAACGAAGAGCACGCCGCAACGATGTCGATCCAAAAGAATTAACTGCGCCCCAGAGATGAGCAAACTGAAACCATTCCAGTAGCAAGTACTCAAAGTGTAACTAGTACTTTTAAAAGAATACAATAGTAACTGCGCCACAATTCAGAGCTTGCTATTTATACCAATAACATTAAAGCTTATTATCTTGTTGGCTATTTTTGGCACTTTAAGAAAAATTGTTATTAATTTTCCCATTATATTTTACAATAATTCATGTCTGCCCATCTCAAGTTCAATTTTGACTTTTCAAGCGACTGTCAAGCTTTAAGTTTGCAATAATAAAACTTATTTTATATTCTTTATAAATTTGGTATTCAGTCAAATCGCAAAAATACAACCATATATATATATATATTTAATTTTCTTTTGTGACATGATTAGGATATATAAAAAAGCTAAATTTAGCTTTTTTAAACATGAAACCGATAATTAGTAATCGATATATGTGTTTTTGTTGGAAAGCTAAAATGTATGTTTTCACTATTGAATCGCGGTTGACGCGATTCTATAATGATAATATGATGCTATAATCTGAATTGATGCTATTTCTGAATCGAAAAGGTTATTCTAATTTCTCTCACTGAATGTATGTTGCCAATTACAACTAATAAGTCTATATAGTTGGGGAGGCTTTCCTTTAATAATTCCAAGTAAATATAAAGTATAAATATAAATATAAATTTATTTTTAAGGTACAAATTGTAAAGATTGAATATATGTACCTTTTAATCAATTGTTACATTTGCTTACTACAACAACAACACACATATATCAGCAACCTTACAAAAAAAAGGAAGTCTTAAAATTAATACATTTTTAAAGGGCTAAAAAATGCTGTCTGCAATATATTATACAATCGTTAATAAAATAAGTTGATATAGTAGTTATTGTCTAAGATGATGATGATGTATTCATGTTCACGTTGAGTTTTTCTCTGTATCGTCGAAGTCCAAAGTATTAAGAACATTAACATCGAGTTCTGGATCCGCATATTCCAATATATTAAAATCATCACCAATTTCTGAAGTTAGGGATTTAAGCAAGTCATCATCATCGCCCTCACCGAATCCGCCTAAGATATCTCCAAATCCAACGTTTTCTAATTCTACTGCCGAGGACGAAATGCCTTCCTGTGACTCCGTTATTTTCATATCAAGCTGAGCTTTTCCATCGTGCTCTAATCCTCTAATATCAGTATGTTGAGGATTACCACTCATGCTTAACATTGGATTATTCTGTGTTAAGGCGGCATTTTGCATCAGGCCAAGTCTCAAGACATCATTTTGCATAAAGTATTCAGAGTTGGAATTCATTAGGACCGCATCGGAACTATTTTTTTGTAATAGATTTCTCAGCTTTTTGTCTCCAACTGGTTCAGACTCAAATGTTGTCGTATGCTCCATTCGATTGTCAACAGAAGACATTTTTGATATGGATGGTGAGCCTGCATGCATAGTTGTCCTTTGGATTGTAGATTTAACTACCAGATTTTCATTAGAGATTACCATTTGTTGATGGGAATTGGTGGCCTGCATAGAAGATCCAATATAGCATGGTGCTTCGTAGGAAACTCCACCTAAAAACAAAAAACAATGTGTTTATATATTAAATATATCTTGAGCTCTTGGGATCGATAATATTAATATTTCTAATTTTTTGAAAAACTTACTTATAAAAATTAATAATATGAATATATATTTACAATTATTGCTATTACCAAACATATTTGATTGATCTTCCTTTGGCTTACAGGGCTGATTTTTCCAAGCGCGTCCATCATCCTGCTTTTCTAGCTTAGGAGGCTGGGTAACTTTGCATTGTTCGCGCCTCTGTCGCAATGCAGACCGATTGTCTTTTGCTTTTTGTAAAAACGGCGCTTTTTTCTCATTGCATAGAGATCGCCACCTCTTTAAAATCTGCTTGCAACGATCAGTCCAATTAGGATAAGACTCTTTCAAATTTGCATGCTCTGTATTAGCGTACAATACTGCCGAAATCGTTGCCATAAGTCCAAGATCTATAAGAAGTATTGTTGTTTTATTTTTATACAATTTTATAAGCTCCCTTTATATTTACCTTCGTCTTTTCGCATTTTTTCAGCCGTCTTCTGTGTTCCAACATTTATGCACTCAGTGGGCTCGCTAGGTTTAACTTCTTCAACCCTTTTCTCAGTTTGTAGAGGAAGTTGCGTTGTGATAGTTTGCGTTTTCGCCTGATATTGAAGCTGTGGCGGCTTATTAGTTATATTTTGTGGCATTTTGTTTTGGAACTTTTGGTCGTGACCCAATTGTGGGGACACCGCGTAATTCTCCACTAAAAGTGGTGGCTCACTAAAAGTCAATTATAAAATTATAATTTTGTAATTAAGAATAAGACAATAATAGTTTACCTCATTGTTGATTTTGTATTATCGTTTGATGCTATATAATTGATTGAAGCATTAATTTCATCTAACTCCGGTATGCCCTGTGTTGTCTGAGAAGGGTAATTAGAAATATATTATACAATGAAATTTAATATTTTAAATATACATACCAAAGTATCCATAGAATGCACAATATTGGGTGCCGCAGTATTCCTTGATATATCTGACATATTAGAATCTAAGTAAAAAATAAAGAGTTTATTGCATTTAGAAGTACTTTTGCACTTTCAAAAACATACCAATCATCGATCCACTAGTTACTAGCTTTTTATTTTGTTGCGTCGCTGTTGGGAATTGATTGGCAAATACGTTTTTGTTTTCATTTAAAGTTTTCTCAACTTTCACGCTCTTAACTGACTTCGCTGGGCTTTTATTAGCAACATCATTGTCAGGGACTTTTTCGCTTGTAGGAGTAAAGTACATTTTCACTGCGGATCCGATGTCATCGGAAGATTCAGAATCGTATTGCACGGCTTCGTTAGATTCTAAAAGAGGTTTCCCGAAGAAAGCTTCTTGTAAATATTGCGGATACGCCTCGATGATTTTGTTCTTTTGCTTTTTGCGTATTATTTTCTTCTTCTTGTCTGCGACTAACATGGCATTCAGTTGATCCATCGTATCGTCATTATCTTTCTTGAGTGCTCGATTTCGAACAGAAAATCCACCGATACCCAGCTTCTGCAGATTACGCTGTCGTTTTTTGCGTAGAACATGGACACCATCATCGTTGGTGGAAATGGAAAAGCCTTCCGGTATTGCAGTTTCCGTTCTGTCCCAAATCATACCGTCCTTATATTTATCACCTTGCACATCATCAGAGATTGCACTTTCGTTTTGTGGATCTTTCGAATTACCCATAGGTTGACGCATTTTTCTTTTCCGCTTAATTTCGGTGGACAGTGATTTGATCATATTCAATCCATTTTCACTCAGGCACACTCCGTCTATCCAATGAATAGCTTCTGTGCTCTCCAACAATTCGTTTGGCAAACGAATATTCCGATCCGCGACGCCCATCGCCTTTCCTTCTTGAGGCACGTCCGGTAAAAGCTTCGCAGCCGCCGTAGACTCCTCATTTAAATTTGTATTTGCATTGGCAGGCAAAATCGCTTTCGAGCTGGCGCGGCATTTCATGCACTTGTACACATTATTATCATAGTATTCCATTGTGAGCTGCGTGTTTACGGAGTCGCACAAGAAATGTGACCATTGCTCGCATTGCTCACACTGAATAATCATCTCGCCTTCGGTGTAGCTCTTCTTGCACACAAAGCAGTTATTTTGGCTGGCGCACGGCAAGCATTCAGGCGCACTTGGTTCATTGAAGTTGATTTTCTCAGTCGGATTCCGGCCACACTTCTGACAGATCGTGCAAAAAGAACATTTCCAATTGCCATGGGGCACTGTCTCCAAGGGCGGATTCACACAGTATATATGATACGAGATATCACATTCATCGCAAAGAAGCAGACGTGCCTCGTCATTCTTTTTGCCACAGCCTTCGCAGACTGTGCAATCGAGGCAACGCCAACCCTTCTGCAACATGCCTCTCGACTGCTTGACACTGGCGCAGTAAGGATGATAGCATTGGCCACATTGTGCACAAGTGATCAAAACGGCGTCGCTTTCAATGCCCAAAGTGCCGCACATGACGCAAATGTCCTGCGAGAGCACAAACTTATCTCGTGCCGAACACAATAACAACTTCTTGTCACTCGAAAGGTCTGTATCCATGGTACGGCCAATGAAGCGATCACTTGAACCGCTTTGAAGAACAAGTTGACGTCCTTTTCCCCTATTGCTGCGCTTCTTCCCTAGCTGCGATATTGCCCCCATGCGGTGCAAAACAAATTTACCGCCTTTGCCGCGGATATTTGTGAGGCAAACTTTTTTCTTCGTATTCGGCAATTTGAGAGGATCTTCACTGTTGACTTCAATGCAAGGTTTTCCATTTAACGGTTCGATTTCCACATGTTTGATATTAAACTGCTCTGAAGACTGCATATCAGCTAGGGACCGTTCGAGCGGATCAACAATCTTGGCCCCAGCTGAATTACTTTTACAAATGGGGCAAACATAATCATAGTCCGGATTATATTCCTTTGTTTTGTGATATGCGGTCAAGTCAGCCTCCTCATCACATGTGCTATGAACAAACCTGAAAAGAAGAAGGTTGTTTAAAGAATGAAGTGCTAGAGTGCTAGTGCTACATTATTTTCATCATTATTTTCATCACTTACTTGTGACAGCAACTGCATTTAACCATTTCCTTGTAGGCAGCAGCTCTATAAGCCTTTTGGCAAATTGGGCAGGAAAATCCTTTGTTTCTTTGCTGATAGCACGAATCGCAAATTGTATAGTGACTGTGCCAGCGAGATGAGCTACCTCCACCGGGCGTTCGAGATCCACAGTCCGTGCAAACACGACATCGCTGCAATTAAATGCAAAGAAAGAAAATTTTAAAGTGCTCTAATAATAGCTATGATACACACATTGCCATGGCTTAAGCTAGCACTTCATTATATAAATATATAGATCAATATCGGATGTTTTACTTACATTACATTTCCAGCCATATTTGGGGATCGAAGATATTACAGGCCGTAAGCAAGTGGCATGGTAGATCTTTTGGCATTGCTCACACTTGATGAATTTAATGTCATTTGCTTCCTGTTGTCTACAAATCTGACATTTTGTACAGCGGGCACAGCTCCAACCAGATCTCGTATCTAACAAATTTTTAAATAAATTAATTTAATCTCTTTCTAAAGTTATTCTGGTAATATATTATGCAAACAAAATTTATATAATATCAATTGAATTACCAGGTAAATTAGCTAGTCCAATGCAAGTGGAATGAAAATGATCTCCACACGAGCAACACATTATTAGCTTGGACAGATCACCCAATGATGAGCACGTCAAACATCCAACATTGTTATCAGTGCCTAAAAATTACACAAATTAATTAATATAAATTAAATTAATTAATATAAATTTGTAATTCTTATATGCATTTGCCTAACTTACAGATTAATGGCACCTGACTCAAATGCTCCGTGCAGAATACAGTGAAACTTTCCAAGATGAGAAAACAACCGGCTGCAGCGGCACACGGCCAATGATGGACTTGTCGGCAATTCATTTTGCAAGTGATGGACGCTCCGTATTGGCCACAGAAGCTGCATTTCTGCTCCAAATACTCATTTAAATTGCTTAAGAATTGCAATATATCTGGATCCTTGATCTGAACTTTTTTACGCAGAGTCCACATTATGCACATGCGATGTACGTAAACAAACTCTTCATCAAAGAACACCACAGCATTTACCAAGTCTGTGTAGCCGATTTTATCCAGCTCATAGGTGTTCTCACCATTGCCTACATTTTTACTTTTCAGCGAAGAATTCATTATGCGAATAATACTTTGATCCTTTTCAGTTTCATTGGGTTTTCTTTCCTTGAGATCCGCAGGAACTTTTAGTTGAAGCATGGTCCCTTGACCAAGACCGCTTCGCTCCCCAAGGTTACATAGACAACAAACTTTCCCGGGAAACTTCTCGGGAAAGTATGGCAGTTCATCTACGTTCGGAACCACAACATTTTTTTCATCTATGTTTCCTAACATGTTTACGCTCATTTTATATTGATTAACATAAGTTTAAATTCTACATATACAAACTAGAGATGAGCAACATAAACTCAAACTATCGATATTTGTAAAATGTTATTATCTCAAAGTAACTAATTGAGTACTTAGAGTCGATAGCATTAATACAAGATTTTGTATAGATTTGGGTTTACTCAAAACAAAAAATACTTTGAAAATATTCTTTCATATTTTAAATATATTTGTTTGGTTTATGCATATTTTAATATACCTATTACTAGTTAAATAAAACCTTTTCACTGAAAACTGCGACTTTTAGTAACAGAATATTATATTTATGTACTTATCATTTATTTTTTAAATGTATAAATAGCGTCGACATTGAGTGTGTGTATGTTTGTATGTACACATATGTTCTAGATAACAGTTATATTAAAAATTGCTTTCTCAGTTAAACATGTCGTGTTCCTAAGAGAGCATGTAATAAATAATATAATCTTTCCGCATAAAGTAAGATGTATGTATGCCAAAGTTTAAATAGTTTACGATGGCCCTTTATCGACCCAGAGGCACTTTGGCACGCGTTATTTACGCCAAATTTCATAATGACAATTTTTTAGAGAACATAGACACCCAACAGGTAAGTTCATGTTTAGCCAGTTTTATTAAATACACGCTATAATAATATATATATATTTCCAGTGGTATTCATTGAACTGTGAATTACCTCAAAGATTCCAGTCGAAATTTGTGGATCTTAAACAGCCTGACCCGACAACAGTACGATGGCTGGAACGCACAAAGATGTTGTCATCAAATATTTGGTTGCATTTATGGCATGCATTGGCCAGGTCCGTTCTGCAGTTTTTTATGACACAGACCGATATCAACGGACTTTTAAAACGTGGCTCCATGTTCATTTTGTCAGAGGAACAATTCTGTAGACTACTGGAAGCAGGTGGATTTCAAACAAGATCTCTAACCGAACCGGTAAATTCTACTGTTATCTCGTATAGACCGAAATGACATCCGCTATGTTTATTCCAGATAACTCTCTTAGATATTGGTGCCGGTGACGGGGAAGTCTCGTTGCGTGTGGCAAATAGTGTTAATGAACTTAGCGGCAATGCTGTTTTACAAGTATTTGCCACTGAAGCCAGTTGGACAATGCGAGAGAGGCTAAAGAAGCTGAATTTTAATGTAGTTACTGAAATACGTGAGCTACAGAATGTAAATTTAATTTCATGTCTTAATGTACTAGACCGCTGCTTCGATTCCTTTAAGCTACTCGAAGATATACATACTGCATTAGCTCCGACAGGACGCGCTGTAATTGCATTAGTTCTTCCATATATGCATTATGTTGAAACGAATACATCGCATTTACCATTAAGGCCACTTCTGGATAATTCCAATAAGCGAAATGGTCGTGAGGCATCGTTTGAGGAAGAAGCAACAATGTTTTTGGAACTATTAGAGAATTGCGGCTTTCGCGTTGAGTCTTGGACGAAAGCTCCATATTTATGTGAGGGTGATCTTCGACAATCATTTTATTGGTTGATTGATCTTATTGTTGTACTTTCCAAAAAGCCTACAAATTGAAGTATTTTATTTTTATACTATATAATAAACTTTCCAAAATATTTCCAATTACTATAATAATTCCAATAGGACTGTTAAATTCAACCAAATCTTTTAAGTTCCAATGTAAGCTCTTTCCCCCGCTTTACAACACAATATTCGATTACTGTTAATATGACAAATGCTATGTTTCTAAGAATCGATTTATGATTTCGATACTTCAATTTACTATTTCTATTTCTCGGGTGTCCTTAAGATATGCAAAATTAAAAGTCACTTCTTTTTTTTTACTTTTGAACTTTATCGACAAAATATTACAATTTTTATTGATATGTTGTATTAGAATCAATCAATGAATTCGAACAGCCATTGATGTAGGCTTTATGCAACTTATTAACAAATTCCTTGTCGTTTTGAATAAGGTAAGTAAAGGCCTGCACGAACTGCGCAGAGTTAAGTGGAAAATATGGTTGCTCTGGCTCCGATTTGACACTGGGCACATCAAACATTGTCGGCGGCATCAGCGCCGGCTTGGCTTCCGGCTTATCACCGACGAGTAGCCTTCTGAGACACTGTTCAGCTTCATCAGTTGAAATCAATGCCGATCCCGATGGTGATTCATCTATACTTTTATCAAACTTAAGCTCACTTAAGAAGGAGTTCGGTTTGCCCACTGTATTCCGAGCGGCAGACGATGTGGTTGCCGTTAGAAATGGTGATAATGGACATTGCGAAGAGCCAACAAATTCGTTTTCTCTTGTGGAAGCCTCGATGGGCGTCACAGATCGCTGTTGCTTTTCCAGCTGATCTACCGAAAGAGGCTGCGGTCGATTCAACTGCAAGTCCACTGTTGCTTGCTTCGCAGACTCGAAGAACTTCATAACATTACGCGAAGTCACGTTTTCGGGCTGATTAACTGTGGGTCCAGGCTGCGTCTGGTTGTTTAACTGGGCATTATATTCCTTTTGCGCCTGGCTGAGCATGTTAAATATACTCGAGCTGCCAGCTGGCTTAGAACCTGACGCTATTGATGCCGTTTGCTGCTGCTGCCCGTTACTTGCTTTGTTTAGCAGCAAACTATTTACAAGGCTGCTGATGCGATCGCACTCGTCGCTATTGTAGAACCAGAAGCCACGGATGCGCGACCGTTCGTTGCGGTATAGCAGAAATGGTGGCTGCGATTGCAACTCCAAGCTGCCAGTTATTGGCTCCACGAATGACGTTGTGTTTAGTCGATTGTTAATGAATATGCTGTGAAATGGCTCCGCATTGCGGTGGTAAATAAAAAAAGCGCCTTCAACATCCGTTTTCTCCCACTCATTTTGCTCCGAATTGAAGGTATAAAAAGCAACATGTGACGACGAATCGACAATTTCTTTTGCGTATGGATCAATTTTCTTGATAGCTGACAAATTCATGCGAGTTATGCTTTCGTCCGCCATTGTATATAATTTAAAACTATTATTGTATTCAAAGATTCAACTAGCCTCTTTTAAACCTTAGAGATGGACAATGCGCGATTACCTTTAATTAATCATCAAGTACAGTGGGCCTCTACAAATTTTCTCTAAAGAAGAAAATTTTGATACTTAAGATAATTAACTTTGAAAAATATATATTTCAATTTTTTTTTTAATAAAGCTGCGAATTTTATTGTTTTTACTTTGTTAAACAAGGAGTAAAATAATTTACAAATATATCTGAAACAAAAAAAATTAATAAATAATTGTTAATGAAAGCAATCCATCTCCTTGTATCAATAATTTGTCAATTAGCTAAAGTTTTCCAAACACATAATATTTGTTTATATGATAGTGTTTATATTTAGATCAAAAATAAATAAAACAAAATACGAATCCTCTGAAAAAAAAGAAAATCTGCCGATACTTTAATATTGCATATAATAGTATCGCTCCGGCCATCGATAGTACAAGTCTCAAATTTAAGGAATAGCCATACAAGGTATACGATATAATCGATATGTTGAGAGAAAAAGGCGCGAACGTACATACATATTGTAGATATTTACACGAATATATAGATTATAATAATACATTGTTGATAAAATGCAGAAGTCGATAACGTAAATATAAACAAACCAATTATATATGACAGTGCTTAAAATTTTTCTGTCTTGTTTAATCTAGCTCATTTTTTAAACCAAAGGATGAAAGTCAAAGCTCCAAATACGCGGAGGATGCACGGTAAGTACGCAGTTTAATAACAAAAAAAAAGGTAAACAAAATGGATTGAACAATAATACAGTAAGAAGGAAACTAAAAGTGCAAGCATTGAGGAAAAGCCTAAAGTACCAAGTCCTGTGAAAACCATAAAGGAGGAAGGAGATGAAAATGCGCTGCCGACGGTTGATGCTGAGGAAAAGATGGAGCTTGAGGCGCCGTCGCCTGTTAAGGTAAGGAAAATGGAATTGAACTCTGGGTTGCCTGAAGGCGAAGCAAGTGAAGCCTACGATCCGTCGGTGGAAAACTATCATCCCGTTAATGATGCCTATTGGAAAGCGCAGCGCACGTAAGTTGAGATTGAGTTTTATAAATGAGAGTGTCGAAATCAAATATAAATACAAAATTAAATTAAATTAAATTAGATTTATATTATATTTATTTGTCTAGCACGCCCTACTTGGCCTTGGCCCGTACGTTTCAAGTTATTGAGGAGACAAAAGGCCGACTGAAAATGATTGATACATTGAGTAATTTCTTTTGCTCCGTAATGCTGGTTAGTCCGGAGGACTTACTGCCGTGCGTTTACCTGAGTATCAACCAGCTAGCGCCCGCGTACGAGGGACTCGAACTAGGCGTCGCCGAAACGACGCTTATGAAAGCAATCTGCAAGGCAACCGGACGCAATTTGGCGCACATCAAATCGCAAACTCAATTAACGGGTGATCTGGGTATTGTCGCTGAGCAATCGCGCGTATCGCAGCGCATGATGTTTCGTCCGAAGCCATTAAATGTGCGCGGCGTGTTCGCCAAACTGAAGGAGATTGCCAACATTTCGGGACAGGCGAAAATAACCCTCGTCTACGATGTGTTCGTGGCTTGCCGACATGCCGAAGCGCGCTTCTTTATACGTTCCCTAATTGGCAAATTACGCATTGGCATTGCCGAACAGAGCCTGCTCACGGCTCTAGCAATAGCTCTCGTCAAACGGAACCACATCAACGATTGCAAGGCCCATAAAGTTTGTGATATTTACAAAGATGAAATTGCGGATACGACATTGATACTTAAAACCACATATAGGTAAGACATAACATAAATCACCTCTGTAGATCTAATAGATGCTTATAGATTATTTAAGTTGTTTTACTATTTACTTAATAATATTTTAATATTTACAATTTGTATTTAACCAGTCAATGTCCAAACTACGATATCGTCATACCAGCATTATTGAAATATGATATTAAGGAACTGCAAGATCGTTGCCCTATGCATCCCGGTATGCCGCTTAGGCCTATGCTCGCCCAGCCAACGAAAGGTGTTTCGGAAGTGCTGGAACGCTTCAGTGGCATGCAAATAACTTGTGAATGGAAATACGACGGTGAACGAGCCCAAATCCATTTGAATAAAGATGGCGAAATTAGTATTTTCTCACGAAATTCGGAGAACAACACACCAAAGTATCCAGATCTGATTGCTAGAAGCAAATCATTAGTGAAAGGCAACGTTGAAACATATATACTTGATAGCGAGATTGTCGCCTGGGATATCGAACGCAAGCAAATTCTTCCATTTCAAATTCTAACGACGCGCAAGCGCAAAAATGTCGATATCGCTGACATTAAAGTGCAAGTGTGCGTATACATTTTCGATCTACTGTACTTTAATGGAGTTTCGCTTGTGACAAAGCCACTGTCCGAGCGTCGCAAGATTCTGATGGAACACTTTCAAGAGGTCGAAGGCGAGTGGCAATTTGCCACAGCCCTCGACACGACCGATATGGATGAAGTGCAGCAATTCCTAGAGGAATCCATTAAAGGCAACTGCGAGGGTCTCATGGTCAAAACATTGGACGAAGAGGCAACCTATGAAATAGCGAAACGATCAAGAAATTGGCTCAAATTGAAGAAGGACTATTTGTCAAATGTTGGCGACTCATTGGATCTGGTTGTTATCGGTGGTTATAAGGGCAAAGGGCGACGCACGGGCATCTACGGTGGCTTTCTGCTCGCTTGCTATGATACAGAGAATGAAGAATATCAAAGCATTTGCAAGATCGGAACAGGTACTTGAAAATCTGCACTTATTTACTGTCTTCATTTATGCTAAATTACTTAATATTTCGCAGGCTTCACAGATGAGGATTTGCGACAACATTCGGAGTTCCTTAGTGCGCATGTGATTAGCAGTGCCAAATCATACTTTAGATATGATCCGAGCTTGGAGCCGGATGCTTGGTTTGAGCCCGTTCAAGTTTGGGAGGTTAAGTGCGCTGATCTGTCGCTAAGTCCGATCCATAGAGCCGCCATAGGAGCTGTTGATCCTGAACGCGGCATTTCCCTGCGTTTTCCGCGATTCATTCGCATTCGGGACGATAAGAGCCCGGAAAATGCCACCGATGCGAATCAAGTATCTCTCATGTACAACTCACAGGATCAGGTTAAAAACAATCAAAAGTCCAGCGATCAAATGGACATGGAGAGTGATTTTTATTAATAAATGCGTAAAAGTATTTGCATAACTAGAAATAACAAATTCCATTTGTTATCATTTTACTATCGAATGGGCACTTGTGCTACTTTCAGAGGATTTCGACTCACGCCGCGTTGCCTCAAAGTTGTCTTTGTTGTCCTGTGGCTTTTGCCTGTTGCGTCTGCCAAATCTCTTATTCCTGAGCGTTTCCTCGGACATCGCAACATCTCCGTCACTTGGAAATGCAGGCACATCTTTACAGCTGGGCGAATTATCTTCAGAGCTCACACCGACTCGCACCTTCGGTTGATATATGGCAATGGAGGGACGATCCTGTAGAAGACATTAGTTAATCTATTTAATTGAATTTATTATTTATGCAAAGCCAAACCTTATTTCTTATGCGACGTTCATCCGCACGTGCATTCTGTCGTTCCTTATATGTTTCTACTGGCTTGGTATTCTTTTGATTAGTTGACACGCTGACGCTTTGGGCTTTGTCAACTTCTTTTGTAGCCGTACTGCTCCCAGCAGGCTCACTGCTGACTTCAGCTTTTGATGCTGTTTCGCTGGGCGCTTCGGCAGCTGTGTCCGCTTCATTTGGCTTTTTCTTTAATATGACAATTTCTTTGTTTCCCTTCTGATTGTCTTTGGGAGTATTGGAGTTTCTGTTTGTTTGCTTCTGATTCGTGTCCTTATCATTCTTCTTCTTATCGCGATTTTCACGATCTCGCACCAATTTGCGTTGTTCGTGTTCTTCGCGCCGACGTTGATCGCGTTCGGTGCGCCGCTTGGAGCGAGCATTTTTCACAGTTTCCTCTGAACCTTGACCTTCCTTGTTGAAMCCCTTTTTCTGATTATTATTATTACCAGGTTTCTTGGGATTTTCAGGTGCAGACTCTTTTGTTTTTGCATTTTCTGGTTGCTCTGCGGCTTTGAGAAGCTTCTGCTCTTCACGATGTTTGCGTTTCTCCTCGTTTCGCTTTCGGAGTTCCTCGCGACGCTTCTCTTTTTTATTCGCCAAGTATTGCAGCAAAGGCGTTGATTTCACCTTCTCTTCGTTTTTGCTTTCAAAATTGAAATCAATTTTCACATCACCCAAACGATTTGCCTCCTCGCGTTCCTCGGCGAGCTTCTGCAGGAATTCTTGAAAGTGCGGTTCCTTCTCAATCGTATTCACCTTATTGTCGTGGCTTCGCGCTTTGTTTTTTAGAAACCACTGGAACGGCGCATACTCGACAATGGCAACATATTCGGCGCCCTTTGAATCGACAAAAACATAGCCATCGAACCGATCGCGAAACTGTAAAATTTCGTCAATATCTTTGGGCGACATATCAATGTAGGCACGACATGTTGCTTCCTGTCCAAGCGACCAGTCGGCAGGGCAATAATAATAAGATTCGTTCTTTGGCAACGGATCCACTTGTTCAAGAAATTCCTTCTCGGTCATTGTCGGTGGCAAATGCCGCACCACAATCTAGGTTCGTATTAATGGAACATTTACTAATTTTCATATAAATGAATTATGAGTATTTACCTTGATTGAGTGAGTCGACTTATCCTTTTTGTCCCGCCGTTTATTAACTCGTGGTTTTTCCATTTTATAAATAGTTTATTGTTTGTTATTATTTTATTCCGACAATCATACGCATTAGAGAATGAAATAAAAACACTACATATTCGATTACACTCGATTTTTCAGGGGAAAGACAGCAAGGTAGCGTTGAACGATTGGAATGAAACAATGAAATATGGCACATGAGCCAATTGCTATAGGAAGCATGATATGAATAAATAAATATTATTTATATTTAATTCATAAGATGGTTCAAAAACTGTTACATATACATATACATATATAGTAATTGTAGATTTAAAAAATGGAAACCGGTCCCAAATAGAATCAAAGCAGCGAAAAAAGCCCAAAAAAAAATATGTAGAAGACAAAGACCAAAGGGTAACCTGAGCAGAGAACAATCGATTTGACTATCGTCTCATTAATCGGAATAATCGAATCGTCTACACTTGTGAAACGTTATGTTTGTTGTTTGGTCAGTGGTTTTTGTTAACGTGGCTTAACAGAACAAAACATAGGTAGGTATTTATAAAATTTTTCTTGTAACTCAGCTCTAAGTTATTATTATTATTTTTGTTTAATGCTTTTTAAGGAAAGTTGCACCACAGAAAGCGCTTTGCCTCGTCTCGAAAATAATTCTGTTATCGTTTCTTTTATTGCAAGGTTCCCCTACGTCTTTACTAAGAATTTTTACAAATTATCTTTTAGATACTACTATGAAGGAGGTGAGAGGACCACATAGAGGGGGGAATGCTGGAATAATCATGTAGGGGCAAAATTTCGATAACTAAGATGCTCACACTTCCGAGAAAATAGCTCCCAAAATTTACTTCACAACAAAAGCCATTTATGTATATTTATATGTAGTTGGTAACTAGAGTAATCTTAATTTTTGAAATTTGAAGATGCTGAGACCTATGTATATAGCTAATAGCATTTACATCTCTATCAAATCTTCTCTATATAAAGTAAATTACAAGCTAGCAAGTATATCTATAAAATTACTGATATTGTATAGATTTTTTATTAATAAATGTACATAAATATATTACTGTAATTCAATTACATATATAAACAAAACAATTAAATTTAAACAATAGTAAATTGGACTTGGATAGATCAAACAGTTCATCATCGAGATGAGGATCCGACAAATCTGCTACGTTATGTTTTCTTATTGACTGCATTCGCATAAAGCCGTTAATTCTTTTTTCTCTTTTCAAATTTTCATTTTATTTAGACGAAAAAATAGACAGAGAGCCAAAGCATTTTTAGGAGGATAGAATTTTTTTCAATTTTTACATTAACTTAAGCAATATTAAAAAGCCCTGATGAAATATTACCCAATTCGAGAAAGAAAGGTAAGCTTAGTAAGCCTTTTAATATACTCATGTTTTTCGTGCAGTGCATGGTGTAAATATTCCCACCCCCAAAAAAGCATTAAGAGATTTTAAGCGCCGCCCCCAAAGGCGGTGGATGACATCTTCTCTCTCTTTCGTTTTATGAATCGACTGCATCCTTTTTCGTCCAAAGGATGGATGGATAAGACAATCGTAACAGTAATTTTTTATTTAAGCACAGTTAAAATTTTGTAGTTCCTGTGCGGTTTCGAAATGATTTATTTTAGAAAAATATGTGATGGCTGGCAAGAAATTTAATCTACAATATAATTAGTGTCGCGTTTTCCGACTTGTGAAAACCACCGATTCAATGCAATGGAATTTTCATTTTTGAACAAAACAAGCTATGATAAAGATTGTATATATAATTCGAATGCCCAATTGCACAACTCGAATACAAGTGCCGGAATTTCGGTGGCTAATCATATGAGTCATTATAATCTGATAATCGACTCCAGCTATAAGTTAAGGGCCAACGAGAATGCCATTAGAAACTCTTTGAATCAAGATACGAATATATTTTTTTCGAAAATAACGAATGTGGCTGAGTTTTATCCCGGAACACATAATATTACGTCCTATAATTCCGGTAAGTAACGAGAATTTGAAGTTGAACTTAATTAAATCCGAGCAAATATTTAACATATTGGGCTAAGAATTTTGATCCTCAGAAAGTAGCGTATATACCCTGCTCAAGAAACCCTTTATTTGAATGCTCAGCCCTATTTATAGCAAAATTTACAAAGGGAAATAAATAAATACACAATCAATTGGTTGTTTCCGCTTCTTATTATTCGTATACCTCTTCCATAAAAGTTTAGTTTTAGATGAAAATATGATGCCTTTGTCTTCAATGCCTGACTACTAAATACCCTTCATCATACTCAAAATTTACTTTCTAGAAAAATTTAACTGCTTTCTTTCAAGATTCCCATGCTAAAGTAGTTGATATATTGATAGAATTTCTATGATGTATATATATTTAAGAAATAATCGTAAGAGTCTATATAAATCTTTTAATGTTAAAATTGCCAAATCCGACATACGCTATAAGACACATATATTTATCTATTGATGCTCTTTTTGCTAACTTTACAACTTTTGAGTAGGGATTTCTATTCATATCTCTCAAGCATTTGGTGGTTGTTATAGAGAACCAGTACTTCAGAGACGTACCTAGTTTTGGTGGTACGGAAGTGTGTTGTATGCTAGATTAACGATATAATATCGTGTCAAAAAGTACTTGACTTTATTGTCTACAGCAAATTAACTATTTATCCACCCTGCTGTAATACAAACGAATAAAATTTTGCACGCCTTTTAACAATCTGTTTACTAGACGATTCTATTTAAGGCGCAGTGCCATGAGGGATGATCCTGAAACAGCCTCCGAGCTGGTACACGTGTCATAAGTCCCATTGTAAAAGCAATTAGGCTAATTGAATATATGTTGTAAAAGAAATAAACAAACCTATCCATAATTTATATATAAAGCTTTAGGGTGGGGAAACTAATTTTATTTAGAGATATTGTACCTTCAGACATAAATTTAAAAGTAAACCACATAACGTATACTCCATTTCTTTCAGGCTATCAACTCAAATATACAGATGAATGTTCAAGTTTAAATGACAAATCGAAACAGAGACGAATACGCACAACCTTTACATCAAATCAGCTTAATGAACTTGAAAAGATATTTTTGGAGACCCACTACCCAGATATATACACAAGAGAGGAAATTGCATCAAAACTACATTTAACAGAGGCACGCGTACAGGTAAATTCTAAATAAACTTTCAATATATATACAAATATAT